CTCCATTCACACACAGAAGAAGGGAATGGCAAACCACTTCTGGATCATCTGCCAAGAACGTATATGAACAGGTCCCAGTCCGAGAAAAGGATGGAAGGATCCTGTTCATATGGACCTGTCGTCAGACACAACACTAAATAAATAAATAATAATAACATGTGACACTTGCTACAAACAATATGTATCTCGGAAATAGCTGCTGCCGTATGTACCTTAGGGACAAGGTCTGTCTCGGGTACATGGAAGTACATACCTCATAAAGTTGAATAGATGGGATAATAATAATAATAAAATCAGTAAGCTAAATTAGAAGAAAAATTATTATTGCAATGGAAAAAAAATATTGAATAAATTATGCACATCTCTGTGGAAAATGTGAAAGTCTAGTTGAATGAAACAGGTTCTTTTTCAAATATGTAGACATTCAGTTGTTTTTATATTCGTATTTCTACTTGTTTGGAAGCCGAGATAGGTGGTAATGCGGTCACTGGGGTCGTGAGTTTGAATTCCACTCGAGGAACGGTAGTTTGCCCTCGTCTGTCTGTCCGTCCTATGTTGATACAGGTCTTGCGGCTGACCTATTACACTGCCCAAGGAGTATGAATGTCGAAAAATGTTCGAGTAACCTGGCAGAGGAATTCTGCTCAAGTGTCTAAGACTTAGGATAGGCTTTGAGACCTAAAACACACACTCACACGGTGTTTAGAAAGAAGCGTTGGGCCATTCAGTAAATTTGATTGCTTAAGGCCACAATATGAGGGATTTGGGGGGGGGGGACACGCAGAGCCTGAACACGGAATATAAACAAGTGACTATCTGAATACATATGTCGGTTAAACAGATTAAGGTTCATTTATAAAGAAAGAAAATAAAACGTTCTTGTATACAGACCCTGAGAAACCTTAAATACATTATTTTGTACTCTTGAAAGATTTAACGTGATCTTGAATTTAAAGCTGCTATTAGAACGCGGAGATCAGACTAAACATAACATGCGTCAATAAATGCAAAGAGGCGTATTACCGAAATGCTCTATACTTGAAATCGGGTAACAATGCATATTTATGCCAGTCGACTCAACTACAGTGCTTCATATTATCATAATGAAATGTTTAAAATATTCCATCATTATCAGACATTACGATGTAGGATTTTGAGGTTTTCATGGCTGTGAGTCTGAAGATTGCTGTCTTCTGGGTTATTGGGCTGTGTAGTCTGGTAGAAGTTTACCGACGTGGATGATGGAGGCAGTAAGGACCTCTGAAACGTCGGTAAACTTCTACCAGAATACACGGCTCAACATCCCAGAAGGCAGCCATCTTAGATTATAGTTCCCTATTGTTTAACATAGCCTACTCTGCCAGTACTTGACAGACTGTCTCAAAATTAAGTCTGACTCAAAGTATCACAGTAATCGAGGCGAGACTGGGCATTTCTCTGGAACCCAGAGTTGACTGCCTACAGCTCGGCGCCACGGTAATCATTGCCTCAGGTTATAATTTGTTTGGAAATGTAAATAATACCATAAACCATTGTTGTTTTCTGCAAAGTTTCTAGGTATTATTCTACGAATTATTTTAATACTGTGTACAAAACTTTATAGTTTCTACGTACGGCAAACATTCGGGGATCGAAGAAATATCTTTTCCTTTCACAATACATTTTAAAATGTATCTTCGTCTTTAAGGCTGTGATGCTCCTTAATTCATTGGCAGCTTCTGTTAATCGCTGTGGAACGATTGTCCGCATATTCAAACAGCGCAGAAGCCAACAAAATGTTTACACGCTATTTTAATGTGGTGGCTTACGCATTTCTGTGCATAAATTGGCACTCTGCAGTTGACATAGAGCCGTAAAATATTCAGATAATTTACTGCCCTACTAAGTATTCAAATAATTTTTTTGAATGAGTAAATTCTGTATAAACAAGCCAGTTATTAAATTATACTCATAGGATAAATAAAAAACAAGTAGATAGATGAATAAATAGGGACATAAATAACTCAGAGAACAGATAAATGAAGAAACATGTAAATACATAAATGATAAACGGATAAATTAAAAGGATTACAAGAATGAGATATTAATAAATAAAATAAATCATAAATTAAAACATAAATTACCGTAATTAACATTAATAAAATTTAAAGTAAACTTATGTATGCATACATGCACACAAACACAAATCAATTACTAAGAAAGTGACTGAATTAATAAATAAATTAAAAGTATATAGATAAATAAGAAAACGGTAAATACGTAGTTAAGCAAATAGGTAACAATACATAAAGAAACAGGACAAACATAAATGCATACTTGAATAAATAAATAGATACGGTAGTAAATAAATAGCTGACATAATAAACTAAGACTTAAAGAAATAATCATGCAAGTAAGTAAATAAATACTTGATTTTGAGTGCGAGTTGGTGACGTTCTGATCTGACCTCAGTTGCTGCCTGCATCTGTTGCAACAAGATTTCGTCATGCATAGGAAATTATGCAGTCTCTGTGAACTCGAGTGGGCGTGAGGTTACCAACCGTAGATGCCCGGGGAATCTTGCTACTTACATGTCTTATTTAACCTTTTTCATGTGCTATAAGTGCTACCACAATTACCACTACCAGTATTTCTTAACTCAGATTGACTACATTTGTGTTACTATGGCACGGGCTGGAACCTACTTTGGAGAAGGTTTAAGGCTTCGAATCAGTCTTTTATGCTTACAATGGTGTTCATTGTACCGATGGTGGCTTTGTAAAAGAGTAAAACGGAAATTACTTATGGATAAAAGCCTCAGACTTCCATTACCGGTTACCTATTGTGAAAGTTTTTATGAAATTTGCTGTTCAAACCTCGTAAAATAAATCTACGCAATTGTTTTCAAGCGCATGTTTGTCTTCGGTATCTTCAAAACTGAATATCAGTTGTTGCAGAAATAATGTAATAATCCGCCCCAATATACTAAAACGACAGACTGCGTATAAAGTGACCTTTGGAATTTATGTATAACCAAGCTTACAAATTTTTCTCCTTGTTTTGTATGATACTTGGTATCTTACATTAAACGAAAACAAATTGAAGGAGCTGAGAATATTTTGATCTAGGTGAAAGAAACCGCCAGTTGAAATGGTAGACTAGCGACTTAATCCTTTAGAGCTGAGTGTTTAACCATATGCACCATCTGCTTTAACAGTAAGTAAAGCTGTAGTACTTTTTTGGGGGGTTTCGTATGATTCTGTGTAAACAGTGATTAATTCCTTAAATAGTATTAACTTGTAATGGGGAAGTGTTGTGGACTGAATTATTTAAATACCACATTTCATCAATTGAAAGCCGCACTTTTTCACATTTTAAAATTTCTGAAATTGAGTCTCGTCTTAAATGTAATGGCGTCTATGGTACAACATACACAAAGACAGCG